AATAGCTTTTCACATATCCTCAAAGCATCGCTAATGTATGTAGCTTCAATACATTCCCACATGCATTCTTGTACCTAATTGCTAACAGCATGATTCAATAAACTATCAGAATCATGGAAGGAATTTGCTTCAGACAGAAAAGAAATCGCTATTCCATTATTCAGTTATAAAAATAACAAGACTTGACCAAATCAATTGTCACAAACAGCATAATATTGGAATCTAATTCCAGGTAACTTCAGCATGCACACACTGCTGTTGAGTCAGGAGTGCCTTGTTTCATCTTAGTTTCATCCACCTGAAACCTGATTTTACTTCAAGAACAGGATGTCCTGCAAAGGAACTAACCAGAACAGACACTGTAATTTAAAGCCACTGTCTCAATCTGAATACTTTTCAAGAGTACATGAGATTTTATGGTAAACACAGCTGCTTTTTCTGACAGTTCTAGCTAGAAATGCTTCCTATACCAAGGATTACTACTTCACTAGACCAGCCTGCTTTCCTTTTATTCTGCACAGCATGGAGAGAATGTGCTACACTACTAGGGCTGGACCAGAACTACCTGCTAGTCTCATGTACAAAAGATAATGCTCAGCAGAAGCATAAAAGTCTCAACAAAGAGCAGGTCAGTGTGAAGCTGAGAAATAAATTTCTCTCCCTAGCAGCTGTTTTAGGAATGGACTATCCAGAGAGGTTGTGTAGTGTCCACCCCAGAGACACTGAGAACCTAACTGGACAGAGTAGTGAGCAACCTGTTTTGAGCAGGTCTCTAGAGGTCTGTTCCAACCCCAGCCGCTGGTGTGGTTTTGTGATACACCTGCAGACCCCTCTGCCCAGGCAGAGGTCCCTGACTACATCAGAAACATTTGCCCTGAAACACTCGCTACAGAAACACTTGCCCTGACTGCAAGCAGACTCTTCTGCTAATAATATTGATGAACGCTTGTGTCTTCCCTGACCTTGAAGCTGTGTTATCTGCTTTGGCTGCGAGAAGGCGATAATAGCTCCTGACAATGGCAAAAGTCAGCTCTGAGCCAGTGGAACAGGAAATCCCATTTCTCAAGCCCTTCAAAGCCTGCCAGCCTGCCTGGCAGAGTTTCTCACAGCAGCACTCAGTGAGATTAACAGCACTAAAAATAACCCCACAATAAATTGTGAATTTAGAAGAAGAAAGGACTTGCCCTCAATGTGGGCTTCCCTTCCACTTGTGGCCTCAAGTATCCCCAGACAGTTGAACTGCTAGGGTTTTGTTCTTCAAATTAAACAGCAGCTGCAGCTGTTGAAGTGGTTTTAAATAAAATAAGAAGATTAAAGGGTACAACAAAGAGCTAAGATACTTTCCAATCTTTAAACAAGTGCCTCACTCCCTTCCCTGTTGCCTTCTATAATAAGAAACTCAGAGCTGAATCTGCTCCTTACCGAATCATTCTGTCCTTGTATCACCAGCTCACATACAATCGTGAACTGAAACAAAAATAGGAGGACCAGTCCTGCAGACTTCCAGTATTTAAGTATTTAAGAAAATGCCCAAGCCTGTTTGGTCTGCACTGTCAAATCAGCAGAAAAAAAAAACAAAACAACAACAAACTTATAGAAGTAGGCACCAGAATTAGCACTACCTTGAGGCTTTCCACAAGTTTTGCTGTCTTTGCCTGTGCCTAGAGTGAGCCATTATAGCTCAGCCATTTGTGTCAGACCACTTTCATTAAAGACAACCTGACTACTGATGAAATTTTCATGCGCTGCTTGCAAGGCTTAGACAATATGCATTAGTGCTTTCTAAAACAACTGACTTCTTTCTCAGCCCCCTAAAACACTGCACACTGACATCTGGCAATGAGAATTACCTTCATTACTATGGGCTCAGCTGCTTGTTTGATGCATATACACAATTTATTGCTTATATAGCACATGTCAGGTACTGGCTCAATTAATAACAGTTCACCTTGAGCACAAATACATTTTTCATGTATGCATGCATCTAAACAAAGCTAATATCCACATGTGCACAAACAGAAAATGCCAAGTAAAATCTTCAATTTACACTCAGAAGGTCACATACTGTGCTGTTTTAACCAGAATGAACCTTAGATTCATTGTAGTGTTTCATTAAGTGTTTTAAGTATTGAGTCCAAGGGGCTTGGCTCTCCAAGAGAACCACAGCAAATGGAGGACAGATGTGATAGCATCTGAGCAGCCATCACCTGGTAGGGGGTGTAGATGAGGATAACAGCCACCACCTGACAGCAGAGATAATCCAACTACCTCAACCACAGAGGCATACCAAAATCCTCTGTTGCAGACACTACCTACCTTTGGATTTAAGGTATGAAACACAGTGTTTTGCAGAGAACAGTTCAAACATAAACTCAGTTCACTCAGAAGTCTCTCCTATGCACTACAGATGATATAGTATCATCATATAGCTAGAGACTGTGTTGTAACATGGCCAAAAGTCAGAATAAGTGTGGTAGGTGCTAAGCATGGGGTCCTTCACTTTGCAAACTCATTGTTTTCTTCTCATAGCTTTTAGAGACCATAATTAGGAAATACAGAGGATCCCAACTGGGAATGTAAAAAGATATTGGGATATAAAAAGATATACTGGGATATAAAAAGATCATACAAGGTTATAAACGTTTCTGAAAACATAGGGAGAAACAGCTATAGAAGCAGCATACACCTACTGCCACACTGCTGTTACAGCTCACTCCCCTGTATTACACTCCAGAGCATATTTTGTGTTAATAAAATGCATGACACAGAAGCGATTGCACTCCTGTCCCTCTTTGCCCCTCCAGCATCCACAGGGGATACCATCTGCATGCAAATCTTCACACCCCACCACTGCAGCAGGTCCTAACATGAACAACCCCAGAGACACAGTCCACCGGAACCACAACCTCTGCCATAGCTGCAAGTCTGGCAACCTGCTGAGACCTTACTGCAGCAGGGATGTCTTCGTGAGGCACCTCCTCCGTCACCTCTGCCTGGAAAGCTTCAGGGATCCGTCAACATCTGCATGACTCCAGCAGAGAGCTCCAGAGACTGAAGCACTCATCTGTGGAAGTGTCACTGAGGAGGCGGTAGGGTGGCCTCCTACCTCTCTTGCCTGCGGGAGACTTCACAGGCCGCCCTCGCCTCCTGGTAGCTCCCCCGGGGCCGGGGCAGCATCATGGAACCTTTCAGATGGCGCCTCATTGAGACGCCCGCACGCTTGCCCGGGGACAGCCGTCGCACTGGCCCTACCTACTCCGATGTGCTGCGCTCTCTCCAGCGGGCCTGGCTGGGCCGGGCCAGTGCCTGGGAGCTGCTGGCTGCCTTTGCCACCAGCCAGCCACTAACGGCACCAGCATGCGGCGGGGCGGCCTCCTTCCCCTCACGGGTCCCGCCTCTCGCTGCCCCCGCGGGTCGGGGCTGAGGGGCCGCTGCGGTGGGGGGGGGGACACAGAGCTGCCACAGGGAGGGCGCTGCGGGCTTGGGTCGGAAAAGACCTTTACGATCATCAAGTCCAGCTGTTCCCCGGCACTGCCAAGGCCACCACTAACTCATGTCACTGAGGGCCTCATCCACACTGTTTGTGAACTCTTCCAGGGACGGTGATTCCACCACTGCCCTGGGCAGCCTGTGCCAATGCCTGAGCACCCTCTCAGGGAAGAAATTTTTCCTAATATCCAATCTAAACCTCCCCTGGCACAACCTGAGGATGTTACTTCTTATCCTAGGGCTTGTAACCTGGGAGAAGAGACTGACCCCCACCTCAGTGCAACCTCCTTTCAGGTAGTTAGAGAGAGCAGTAAGGTCCTCCCTGAGCCTCCTCTTCTCCAGACTAAACACCCCCAGTTCCCTCAGCTGCCCCTCATAAGATTTATTCTCCAGACCCTTCACCAGCTTTGTTGCCCTTTTCTGGACCCGCTCCAGCACCTCAATGTCTCCCTTGCAGTGAAGGGCCCAGAACTGAACACAGGATTTGAGGTGTGGCCTCACCAGTGCTGAGTACAGGGGGACGATCACTGTCCTGGCCCTGCTGGCTATGCCATTTCTGATACAGGCCAGGATGCTGTTGTCCTTCTCGGCTGCCTGGGCATAACCTGGCTCATGTTCAGTGGCCATCAATCAGCACCCCCAGGTCCTTTTCCCCCAAGCAGCTTTCCAGCCACTCTTCCCCAAGCCTGTAGCATTGCATGGGGTTGTTGTGGCCCCAATGCAGGACCTGGCACTTTGCCTCGTTGAACCTCATATCATTGGCAAAGGCCCATTGATTCAGCCTGTCCAGATCCATCTGCAGAGCCTTTCTATCCTTGCTATGGGCTTGGGCCTACCATATTCACCCCAGCTGAGTAGGGAAGCACCCCACAGGTCTGTGTTACTTTTTGGCATGCACCTCTGAGTCCAAGAGGTGAACCACCAGGTTGCTGTGGTAGAAGGAGTTACGAAACCAGCATAAAGGTAAAGACCAAAAAGCTGAGAGGTGTGTGACAAGACAGCAGCCACACGCATCAACAGCAAGAAAACCCCAAACACAATACAAGCCAGCAACATACCTGATAAGCTTTTTCAAATGCATGTGACTGACAGCGTTGCAGGCAGGGAGGGTGGAAAAATCCTTCCTATGCTAAATCTGGAAGCAACGTGAGAAGCTCAGGTTAAGCGACAAGAATGATCACAAGCAGCAAGTTTTCAGTACAGATCAGATCTAGGGGGTGTGTGTTTGCTCTGTAACTTAGATTAATCTTTTTCAACACATCATTGCTGTAAAAGCCCAGGCATAGACGGTTGAGCTGTCATGCTTTTTTGCCCACACGTGGCGCTTCTGTGTTGTGAAGGTGGAGCGCGTGCTGCGGGATGATGTTAATGCCACGGCTGGGAGGATGTTGGCTTACATGCTGGCCGTCTTCAGCTCTTCTGATATAGAAAGCTGTGATACAGTACTTACTGGATCTGGCACTGGTGAGAAGTTTGTTTTCATGGACATAAACAGGACACTCAACAGCTAATATCTTTACTGAATGAATTTATTGGTTTTTGAACTAAAGTTGCTCACAGTTATTTAACAAGGGATACATCAGATTTTTCTGTCCATTTTAAACCATTAAATAATGTCAGTTTGTGTCTGTATATGTGTGTGTGCGCGCGTGTGTCTTTAAAGTACAAAATAGGAAGGATAACAAGAGGTATTGCTTTCATTTATTCTTATATCTTGTGTAAGTAATCCCCTTCCTGCTTGTACCACATGGGTTTTGCTGATATAGGTATTTTTAAATTATTATTTTGTATTGAAATCCCAGCCTTTTGTAGAGGTACAATGTAACAGAAGCATCAAAATCTATACACAAGGGAAGAGAAAAGAGGGAAAAGAAGGATGGGGGTGATGGGAGGGGAGCTCGGAGGAGAAGTAGAGAGAGGGCGGAGGCAGGAAAGACAACAAAAGCAAAAGAGACTAATTTACAGCAATGTCATGCAATTAAAACTGCCCCCCTCTCCTGCACCCTTGCCTCCCCCCCTCCCCAGCCATCACCCCCAGGTGTCTGACATGCACACAGCAATACGAGAGAGAAAAGTTTTAAGAATAGGGAAAATAAATAAATAAATAAACCAATAAAATAAAATAAATCCCTCCCATTTGGGGGAATGGGGAAACGGGGCAGAAGTCAAAGGTCTTTGCCCCAGTTGTGTCTTTAAAAATTCTTTTTAATCTTCAAACCTATGTACAAGTAAAACTGGTCCAAGAAGGGGAAAAATGATTAAAAAAAAAAACGACAACAACAAAAAAAAGAACTCATCCAACAGTATCAGTAAAAAAAAAAAAATAATCTTGCGATACAACATACACCCATAGGAACCCAACGAGCAGCAATCGAAGGTCATAAAAGAGCTGAACACTAATGCTAAGCCTACATTCTTAAAATCTCAGTCAAGAAGTACTTTTCATTGTGTTTTGTCTTCCACGCGTAAAACCACGTTGGTTTTGTTTGTTTAACCTTTGAACTTGGGCCAGAATAAGTTACACTTGGTCACATCATAACTCTTGAGGAGGAGGAAAAAAGGCAACAATTCTTCTTTCTCAAAGTCACAAGATAACACTTACGGGGTTTCTGTGTCTTTTTTCTACCTCCTCCCCAAAATAAATAAGAATCAGTGTTTCACTTACACGGTTATTAAACAGAAGATATATCTCACAGCTTATTTTTTAAATATATATATGTATATATAAATAACCAAAACCTAAGAACTGAAACACACACACAAAAAAAAAGTCCCCATCCACCCAACCCCACCCTCCTCCCCTTCGAAAAGAAAAAAAACAAAAATACCAACAAACCAAACCAAAAGTAAAACCAAATCCAAACAAAACTTTATAAAAATATCTTGCAGTAATTTTTAAAGTTTACAGTAGCTTTGTGATTAAGTCTCCCATTGCCCTGACTCCACCTTGTCTTGCTCTGATGAACTAAGTGCCAGTGATGTGCACACACACACACACAGAGGAAATAAAACCCAAGAGAAGTCTCTTTTCTTCTTCCTCTTCATCTTCTTTTTTCTTTTTCCTTTTTTTCTTATTTTTTTTTAAGAAAAAAATCACCCAAGCCAACAAATGAAACTGGTAACTTAAAGAAATAATAATACTGATATCAATGCAGCACTAGCAACACAACAATTGCCTCTAAATGCAGGGTGTGGTGGAGGATCCAGCTGGTTGAAGAAGGTCCCAGCGCGGTGGCACAGTGGCAGGGAGTTGACAGTGGGGAGGAAGGTGTTGAAGGAGGAGCAGCAGTAGCAGCAGTGGCAACTGTGCCTGGTGGCAGGAGAGACAGTCCTTGGCAGAGTCTTGTCCCTCTTCTTTGCTACCAGAAGTTGCCTTTTCCCTAAGTTTTAATGTTTTGTTTGTATGTGTTTATTCATCGAACCCCTCTCCCTCCTAAGTTTACTCCTTTCCCCTTCCAGCAGGTCAAAAAGCAAAACAATATAGTATAAAAAAAACAATCATTTTGTACATATATATATATATGTATGTATATTTATGTATAAATATACACACATATATACATGTATATATAAAAAAAAGGGGCAAAAGAAAAGGAAAAGGTGGCAGGGAGAAAAAGAAGGTTAAGAAAATCCTGTGATGAAGCTCCCCAATACTGTCTTGGTTCAACGCTTATTTCTGAGTTGCTCCTGGCTGGTTTCTGATGAGAACGCGCTCTGGATTCATGAAACATTGTGCTCCCACTACAACCATCTCCTTCCTCACACCCTCTCTCTGGGCTGTGTTCAGCTGCACAGACAGAAGTTGCCAAGGGAAAAGGTTTCACTCCCAACAATTTGCAACCCCTTTTCAGCCCAGACTCTGCAATCCCATAACTGAGCGGATCTCTCTTGTGGAGCACCAAAAAAGAAAAAGAGAGGGGGGGGGGGAAAAACAGGCGTGCACTGGGGAGGTGTCTGGGGAGAAGTGGGGGAGAAACCCACTTCCTGAAGGGAGAGGGGAGGCTGGGAACCTCAAACAGGACTGGTCCTTGGACAGTCTACATCGGTTGCCTTCCGTCAACAAGTGTCCGCAGAGCACAGAAGGTGAAGCCGTGGCTGACATGTTAACTTTTCGGGATAATTCCTGGTAGCAGAGCGGAAACAAGTGGTGTCGTCAGAAACACAGAGAGAGCATGAACAGAACAAGAAACAAAACAAAAGAAAACAAAAGAAAAAAAACAATAATAAAAAACCCAAAAAATCAGGAAGGAGAAAAAAAGCAAAACATTCAAAAAAAGGGAGGAAAAAAACCCAATTGAAAAACCACAACCCAAGATCTGGTGAACTGGGTTTGTCATCTGTGCTACCTTTTCTTTTCTTTTCTTTCTTTTCATTCCTTCATTCGTTTGTTTTTGTGTTTGTTTCTGAGATATATATTATATATCATATATAAATATATATGTATATATATACAGTCATTCCTTCATACAAAATTTGTCTATAGACAGTTTTGTACTGTTGTGGCAAGGTATATACATCCTTCTAGTTTAGAGGCTAGCTTGCTAAGGAATATTCTTTCATTCTTTCTTGCTTTTTGTTTTTTTTCTAAGTTATTTAATTTTTTTATGTGTTTATTTAAGGTTGGTCTTGTAGGCCGACTGATGAGACCATCTTTGCCTTGTCTTTGCCAGCAGGGTACTTATTGTCTCCTCTAGACCCATAGTCATTAGAACCGGAATCGCTCCGCTTGCTGTTTGCGCTATGCTTGGTTGGCGTGCCGGGGGGATGGCTCACCTGCCCGTTCTTCTCGTCTGAAAAAAGTTGTTTAATTACGTCAAAGAAGTTACTCAATGGGCTGCCTGGGTACACAAAACAGAGGAGACAAAAAAAGAAAGAAAGGAAGGAAGAAAGAAAGGAAAAAAAAAAACAAACAAGAGGGAAAGAGAGAAAAAGAGGAGAGAAAGAGAGAGAACAAACAAACAAATGAACAATGGGGTTTTTAACGAGAAGAACATGATGAGGAGATCCAGAGCCACGTGCGTGGGGGTGTGTGGGGTATGAAGACAATGAGCAGGAAGAGGAAGAGTGTTTAGGATGGGACACCTACAGAAATAAAGAGGCTGGGAGCATAAAGCACCTAGGGGGAAGGTCCTGGTTTTCTCCTGAGTGGGGAGCAGTGCTGTCTCACCTAGCAGAAGGACACAGCACCATGTGGCTGAAATAGTTCAATCTATTACTTGGAGTCACTTGGCCACTCCACACTGAAATGTCAATGAATGTAATGCTGGATATAGGCAAGTCCCATCTTACTGCTGCTGTTACAAACACGGGGCATTTGATATGGTCACCAACCGATGCTTTCCTCTGCAGACTTGCTAAGTTCTCTGGATACACCAGATATTAGGCTTTCTTTGCTTACACATCATTTCTTTCTGAGCATCTCCTTGCTCACCTTTCATCACTGAAGCTTAAAGCACCTGGGTGTTCCAAGCATTTGAAAAATGAGGTAGAGCTTACATGAGTATTGCCATCTGCCTGTGTGGTTTGTGGCTCATGCTTACAAGCTTCTAAGTACTTTCAGATCCTTCTTACAACTGGTACCTGGAAATGAAGATTCTGAATGCGCTGTGGAAACAGGCTGTTACACATCTATTTCTGGGACCTACCATGGTCAAGAACTACTTCTTCATTGTCCTGAATTCATGTTCTCTCTACAATACAGTCTCCATACTAGTAAAGTCAGGAGCCAGAGAGGAGTGTAGGGTTGCATGCAAGTAGAAAAGGTATCTCATATGGCCAGCCACTGGAGCAGGATGCAGGTTATGAACATGGGCTGAGCACCGTCCACATGAATACAATCTTTTATGCCATTTGGGCCTCCAGGCAGCAGGGTTTTATCCTGTTAATGCAGTTCTGTGTCAGAGAATATGTGGAGGGTCATACCTGAGGAAATGCTCTGGGGTGATACAGAGGGAAAGGGAGCAGCTGCTACCAGAGAGGTAGTATTTTGCATGCACTTCTTTTTATTTTCTTGGATTGGAGAATTAATCCTGATCAGGCATAAGAGGAGTCACACTAAATTCTCTGAGCATGGATATTGAAGGTGTTTTTTATCTAACATACACCATGGGGGTTATACATGCTCATGACCATTAAAACCCCATGATGCTTTTCTCATTATTGGGACTGTTGGCTCCATTGTTCTAACAAATGTAAATCATCTAAGTCCCACCTAAGCAGTTTCATTCTCAAGTTCCCAGAAGTAACAGCTTCTTGTATCTGCCTTCCAATGTGGCGGTATGCTGTGAAGAGTGGAGCCTTTCATCCCTGAGAACATTCAGTTGGGAGCAAAGGGGTTTCTTCATAGCAGATACTCTATTTATCCACAGTTGGTGAACACTGGTGGCTTGGTAATATATTTCCCTTCACTTTCATTACAAACATAACTGGTTACTACATCAGGCAAGTTGCAACTTGTTTTGTTACTTGGCACAGTAACTTGTCTGAAGAGTTTATTGAGTGCTTTCTTACTCTGTAATGGAAAATGCTATGGACATCAACTGCTCTTATACAAAGAAAGAGGAAATACTAGTATTTGTGCCCTGCAAAATTGAATTTTTTACTCTTTTATGCCTGCCCTGTACTAGCCAGGTAGTTGCCACTTTCTTCTGCATGTTAATGGGCAGTGAGAAAAATCAAATGGCTGGCATATACAGTGATGGATCTCAATCTTATTAATTGAATTATTTCCTTGTCTTTCTCTACTTGCCACTTTCTGGTTAACTTACTGCTGGTCCTGGTTTGGTCCTTGCATTCAGTTACACCAATGCCACAAGCAAATAGTTGTTACTTTCTGGAAGGGCATCATTCACCTAAATATCTGAAGCCTTAGAGATGGGCCCAAACAATCAACCAGGCAAAGCACATATCTCAATCTCTGGCTAAGAAGCGGAGGGCTATCAAACTCTCAGTTGTTTTCAGGGTCAGATCTTCATAAGCTCTACCTGCTTCCTTCCACATGTGTGCAAATGCTTTGAATGGGTGATATCTGTTCCATATCTATGACTTCTATTTCAGAGATTTCCCTAAGTCTCCCTAAAACTGTTCTAGGTTTGTGGGTACATGTTCTGCTCAGACTCATTTCTATCTGCTCAGACTAATTTCTAATTCTCTTAGGTGGATATTCTTTTTCAATGAAAAGGAAGAAAAAAAAGAAAGCAAACACTCACTCTTGAATGCAGGAATGTGGGCAGATCAGGTTCTTAAGTGGCTTTGGACCCCTCATCTTCATAAGCAAATGGAGTCAGCAGATAGAATGAAAAAGAGCACTAAAAAAAATGCTGGAGAGGGAAAGACTGCTAGATTGGGAGAAAAGGGAAGGGGAGTATCGCTAGTTATTCAGCTGAGCAGTTTATTCAACAAGCTTAGAGGGAAAGAAGAGGGCAGACTAAGCAGGGCTCTGCAAGAATTGGGAAACTTTTTGTTTTCATGTAGACAGGAACAGTAAACAAAAGTACAACTTGCAAGAACTAAGCAATAAAACATTAAAAAAATGTATATCTTGTATTTGCTGAGTCTTGGTACAGGATTTTTAATCATCCTATTAAAATATGCAGCCCCTGTTTCATTCACCCTTTCTCCTCCCCATGCCCTACCAGCTTTCAAGTGTCTGGAGATTTACTGCAGCAAAAGTATTTAACAGTCTACTTTTCTTTGCCCGTACCACTACTGGATTCCTTACAATCAGCATTTTTAGTTAAAATTTTAATGTGAGATAAGAAATCCTTAGGGATGTTTAAAGAGAGCTCCTGAAAAATAAAATAGGCCATTTCACTAACCCTTTCCTTCCTTTGCCTTTTTTAGTATCTGGACTTCTAATTAAATACTAGCTAATCTCTCCTATCCTGCAGTCAAGAAAGAACTGATCATACACCAAGCAATATAGACAGTCATTGCATTGATGTTGTGTACATGATGGCTTCTTAGTCCATTCTTGGGCTGGTCTAGATACTAGTCTTTGGATGGACAAGAGTTCTTACGTTTTTGTCTGGAGATATGTAAACATGGGTCAGCTATGCTGGAAGCATGAAAATGGTGTGTGGTGTTGCTCTTCTTGCTTCTTATTTTCTTCTGGACTTACACATGCAGTAAAACAAGACTTGAAAATGCAGGGATCATAGATTAGAATAGCTTTTTCATCAATCTTGCACTCCTAGCATTCAGTGCAATGTGTGTCATAAGCTCTTATACCTCTAAGTCCATCTGGGCCCTCAAAAAGGCTGCCTCTCTTATTTCAAAAAGTGAGAAGACGTCACATTCCCTCTGGACAAGGATGAAGGCTTGGTTCACTGATTCTTCAAAACTTCCCTGGTGTTTCATGCATCTGTAACTAAGATTTTCTTTCCCATTGAGAGTAGATATTCATCAACACAGAGCAAAGAAGGCATGAAGGGTAACAAGAGTGAGAAACCATGGGAAGGATCAGAGGCAGGAGAGAAGGTTCAAAGCATAAGGTTTACATCTATTAGGAGGAGATGGGTATGTGCATTTTGGAGTTAGACCAAGGAGCTGTATGCTGCAAAATGGGGAACAGGAATGGGTTTGAAAGCAAGCGCTGAAGCCTATGAAAGGGTCATGGGTTAAAAGGGGTGCTAGAGCACTATCATGGCCAAATATCATGAAAGAAGTAAAAACTGTGAATGCATTTGAACAGAATGAAGAAACAGGGCTGGAGACAAGATACAAAAAATGTGAAAGGAAGCTGGGCATGTGGCTTGTACCAAACTTCACAGTCCTCATTATTTTACCACCTATTCTTTGGAAGTCTGTCTGACATTGACTAGCCCCAGTGGTGTCACAGGTTTGAGAACAAAGTACAAGTGGAGAACCCAGGTAGGAGAGGAAAGAGAAAATCAGGTCATTCATTCACTCCAGGCACCAGAATTAACACTAGGAAAGGATGCACCTTGCAAAGCCCCTGACCTGACCTTGCAAAGACCCTCAGAGTCCTCCATGGAAAACAACACGAGGTGGTGAACAAGCAGCTTCAGGACAGGCCTGAAGGTTTCAGTCCCTGATTAGAGCCTGCTGTTTTGTAACATTTTAAGACAGTCAGGTAAGGACTTGGTCCTCTTTTCATTGCAGCAAATGGCAAAGTTCCCATGGACTTAAGGGAAACCCTGAAGCACTTCTGTGAAACCATCTCTTTCAAGTCTATGTATTTTTAATGCACTAATCCTTGTGGTGCTAAACACAAAGTTGCACAAAACTAATACAGCACCTGTGGATCCCAATCTACGGGATTATTCTCTGCCTTTCCTTTCTATATAGCCTGAGAAATTTTGGGTTTCTGCATGTTTAGCTTAGGCTTTGGGAGAAAGTGAATGGGAAAAAATGGTGCCACTGGAAACCAAGACACCCTTTATCAACCTGACTTCTCATATTCCTTTCCTTGTTGCTTCCACATCCTTTCTGTCTGTTTTCTGCCTGCTTCTACTACTGAGGTTTTCTTCCTATATTCATTCCTTTCTCTTTAACCCTTGTCTTTTTCATCCCTAGCCTGCTATGTATTTTGATACTCATGTAACAAAAATACAACTCCTTTCACATAAAGCATTGAAGCATTCTCTTGATGGGTGATAATCCATTCCCTTCCAAATCCATTTTGCTACTTTGTCAGAGTTCTAGCCCTCTTTGTTAAGTCTAGTCATTTTTTGCCCATTTGCTTGGTTTCTATTGGCAAAATCCCTTCTGTCTTCAAAGTCGGAAGACTTAAAATACAGAACCCATTTGAAGAGTATATGCAGTGAAA